CACACACACAAACACACACACACACAGACACACACTTTACCCTCATATTCTGTCATTCCCTTTTTCATTGTCTCTCTGATAATATTCCAGCACAGTCACCTCACCTTCCCTGTGACCGGAACGTTTCCTGTACATATGTGTTTTATATAACTCAAATGCAGCTATATGCCAGAATATAACCAATGATAACAAACATCACAGGAAAACTGATATATAATTTTTAGGCCTGTTTCACACTACATGCTCATAGCAGCAAATATTAATTTTGCCTGTAAAGTTTCACTATTGAGCCTATTTTTCCACTTCTAAGTGTGCTGAATGCAGTAGAAAATACATTGAAAACACTATAACCCATTTTATTAACACATTTTACATTATTGGCTTTTATAAAGAAACACAAAATAACAGAGTCATCTACTTGACTTTTTACAGAAATACATCTATCTGCCTTCATTACGTTTAAACATTGACAGGCACCCGAACACCGCAAATCAGTAAATCAGAGTCAATCCAAATCATTTAAGAAGATTATAGAGTTTGGGTTCCATTGTAAATGAATTACTATTTGGATGTAAATGTGATCCACCTTGCTCACAATCACATTTGTAATAATAATTCTCAACTACACACACCTAATACTCATTGTGGGTAACCAAAAATCACTTTAGTTTCTGTATAAAGCTGCAGCTCTTTTATGCAGCAGAAACACAGTCAGTGTGAAAGCACAACGTGAGCCTGCTATTGCAGTTAAGCTGCAGCACCGCTTGTGTGCTGTTTATGCATGCGGTGTGAAACAGCATGAACCACATCTGGGACTTGCTTTTTACAATGGAGTGCTAGCAGGCAAGCAGACTGGAGGCTAAAATACACAAATGTGAAGCTTGTAATTTTGATAAAGGACTATATACATGAATAATATTCGTTAGTTGAGCTGTAAATGACTCTAAATTGTCCTTTTGAGGTGGGGCTTCTTTGCTTTAATCTGTCAAAACACTGGGCACTTCACAAATGAACTACTCTGGCAGCACATAACATTCAATAAATATAATGCATTTTTCTATTTTCTGGAGCATGTCACTGTCTGAAAAATCCCTGTTATCCTCTTTACTCTGTTAACTATGCCTGTGTGTTTGCTGAGCTGCGGTCAGGATGACGCCCTCACCCCATCACATACAGCACAAATGCATATGCAGTGCAGCATTAAAAACCACAAGAATGTTTGTATTTGTGCATCTACACTGTATGTATACAATGATGTGCATGTGAAATTGGTTTGCAATGTTGCAATGAGTGAAATAAGGATAAGAAAATTACATAATATATATACACATACATATATCATTAAAATATCAACTTACAGTTCAAAAGTTTGGGGTCAGCAAGACTTTTTAATGTTTATAATAGAAGTCTCTTAGATTCACCAAGGTTGCATTTATTTGATCACAATACAGTAAAACAGTAATATTGTGAAATATTATTACAATTTAAATAACTATTTTCTATTTTAATATATTTAAAAATACATATTATTCTGTGATGGCAAAGATGAATTTTCAGCAGTCATTACTCCAGTCTTCAGTGTCACATGATCTTTCTGAAATCAGTATAATATGCAGATTTTTTGCTCAAGAAATATTTTTTATTTTTATTTATTTATTAAAACATCTGTACTGCCTAATATTTTGATGTAAACCAAGATAAATTTTTTTCAGGATTCTATGATGAATAGAAATTTTAACAGAACATCGTTTATTTGAAATGGAATCTGATCAACTAAATGATCAACTTCACGCATCATTGATGAAAAAAGTAACAATTTCCTTACTGACTCCAAATTTTTGAACGGTAGTGTAATATTAATGTAATATTTATTGTATAAAAATATAATAGATATTTTATAAAATATTGATATTATACAGAATATCAATATTTGATATAATATTGATTATATTATTAACTTTAAATCTGGAGACTGGTTTACATGTAAAAAGCAACATGCTTTGATTTGCTAAAATATTTAAAAAATTAAAATATTAATTCCAATATGACCATTTCATTTTTCCTTTAACAGCCAAACGTCACAGTCCCCAGCTCCCAGCCCTCTGTTGCTTTACTCTAATCCTTGTCAGTCTGCATAGAGTGTCTTCCGAGAAGGTGTTTTATTCAAGCAACTCACAGGTTCAGTTCCCCTGGAGTAACAGTGAATCTACATCAATGACCCTCAAATCTATTCAGTATCTGACTCACCTGGGCGTCTGTGGGGGCGGAGCTCTGATCCGGCTGCTGTGGCTGAGCTGACGATGCACTGATGGTGACATTTTTGTCTGAGCGGCTGCTGCTGTCTCGGCTGTGTGATTTGTGCCGATCCCTGCTGCTGCGTTCACTGCACGAGAGAGACACACACAGAGACGGAGGTGAGGGAAACGCTGTCGCCATGGCGATAGGAGCGGGGAAACACACTCAGACTAATGACAGGATAACCACCATCATCATTCTCCCTCCTCATCCTCTCGCTGACACGCTTCCTCTAGCACTGTCTCGCACATGCCCTAACTGGAGCATCTGGTGCAAACTGGGTTAGATGCAGTGAGCTGTGACCACCCTAATCCAAACGCAGGGTTCTCTCTCTCTCTCGCTCAGTCTTTTTAGTCATCATAGTTAATGCCTGGCAAGCCTTAGAACAAAACAAAACAGATAAACAAACAAATACAGCACTCCTGCACACACACACACACACACACACGCTCAAACACACTTACAATCAAACAGCATCAGACGTCTCGCTCGGAGTAATTATTGAGCAAATAAATCTGCAAATATCTGCAAAGACAGCCTTTGTTCTCACACTGTCTGTGTGTGTTTAATATTATACAGCTTTCACAAGGAAGCATGAAAATGACATTGTTACAGTGATTGATGACAAACTAGCTCTGTTTCACAACCAAGTGTCTACTACCTTCCATTGATTTCTATAGTATTTTTCCATACTATGGAAGCCAGTGTGGACCAGAAATGTTTGGTTACCAACATTCTTCAAAATATCTTATTTTGTGTTAAGCAGAAGAAAGAAACTAACACAGGTTTGGAACAACATGAGGTTATTGATGACAGAATTTCCAGTTTTGAGTGAACTATACCAGTGGTTTGTCACCTGGTTTAGCCAATT